GCACCAGCGAGCTTTGGCCCTCCAACACGAGCGCGCGCACCCTCTTCCGCTTCTCCCGGGTACACCACGCACGCCCCATGGGTCAGCGCGAAATGGGCATGGGCGACGCCCCAGTTCGGTCGCGCCCGTGGGTAGAGCACGCGCCAGCAATGTGTGCACCGCTGACCCCGTCCCTTGATGGTCCCGTTGACCCCGTGCCCGCCTTGGGCGCAACAGGAGAGCCTCGGCATCATGCCCCTCTATGATGACGAGGACGCCGAGGACGCTGGGGACGTCATGTGCAAGGATGTGGCGCCCGCCGGCAAGCTCTCGCGAGACTCGCCCCCGCCGGGTGCAATGATCGAGAGGTTCTGCGAGACGACCAGGCGGAGTTGCGACGCTCCCGGGTCAACCTACCGGGGGATGCCGCGCCTTGTGCACCGCATCAAGGTTCGTCACGACGATGGCACAGCTGCTGAATATGAGGTGGATGAGTATGATCAGCAGCGTGGCGTCTTTGCAGATCTGCTCATGTCCCCAAAGGCTTCAAAGTGGCTCCTGGAGCAGGGGTGTGCATTCTGGAGTGCGCCTTCCATCACCGAGACCTCAACCTTCCAACCTTACCCCCTTCCCCTATCCAGGAGTAAGCACCCACTGTATGGTGAGGAGTTCAAGGGGGTACAGAAAGCCAAGCGAGGGCAGCAGATGAGGAAGCGCAAGAAGGAGGGCATCTCGAGCTGCCACGTCCCAGGCTTTGTGTTGCCAAAAGCGTCGAAAATGTCCGAAAAAAGCGTTACTCGTGTTTGTTGCAGCCCCACAGCCGGCGCGCGCTGCCAGGAGGCACCGCTCGCGTGTCGGCGGCACTCCCTGGCACCCAGTGAGTGCCGCGAACCGACCAGACCGAACAGGCTCGACGCCGCGCTCGCTGTGGGGCTGCAACAAAGTCGCCGCCGAGCGTGCCACCGAAGGCGTCCCGTCGGAGGTGATGGAGTTTGAGACCTGAGGCTGCGGAGGCGACGCCTGAGGTACCGGCCCGTGCACAGCGACTCAGCCGGCGACCGCCACGGGCTCAGGCGAGACTTGTCGACGCGTTCCGGCTCAGCTTCACCGTGGTCCTCGGGCGTCTGTCGACGTCAGGACCACCCATGCAGCTCGCGGGTTTGAGGTCGCAAGAGCCAAGATGGTGGCGTTTGGACATCCCAACCATCACACAAGACAGCCTGTAGGTGATGGCGGGACGGCGCAGTGTTTGTGGCACTCGGCAGTAGGCACCCGCGTCCCGCGGCACGGCCCGCTGTCGGCTTTCGCGGGCTGCGGAACCGGCCCCAGAAGGGGACGGTCCGGGCGAGTGTGGCAGCTCCTGCGCTAGTATGGGCACCCTCTATCACAACACTACTGATCCTGGTCATTAGAGCTGCCAGGGATAGCGTCAGGAGCCGGTAGGAGTCAAAACCTCTCATATTTGAGACATCGTGTCCCATATACTCGTGCAACAACCCACTTCGGCACGCCCCCCTCTTTGGGCCAAATCGCTGTCCAAAGTTCGAGTGATAGCCAAAGATACGCTTGACTATACGTTTCAACGAGATACACCATTATACCTTTCCACCGGTGTATCTTCGAAGTTTACGCGGTCCGTGAAGATACACCACTCTTCAAGAGATCTCTTCGACTGGAACCCGTGTATCTTCGTATGAAGATACACCGCTTTGACCTGGAACCCGTGTATCTTCGTATGAAGTATGAATGAAGATACACCGCTTCGGCGCGGAACCCGCATAAGTAAGGGCGTGCTAAGTGTTCTAAGAGCCTTACGTTTCGACACTGCGGTGCCAGCAAGGAATCGCT